AGAGAGCTCAAAAGAGAGCACATGAGGATCAGCAACGGAGGATGGATCAAGAAGTTCCATTCTCTTGCTGAAATTTATGTTGATACACTTGAAGAAGAAATGAATCCCAAAGAGTTAGTGTTGCTCACGATCGAGGAGCTGACAACTTACCGTGAGGCAACAATTGAGATGACGTGGCAGGAGGTCATGCGAAAACAGCTTGAAGCCATTGAGAAAAAGAAGATGTGCATACTCACTAACTTATCGCCGGACGCAAGTCCAACGGTTTGAAGTAGGTGTTTAAGTTGAAGAAGAATAGTGAGAAAAATTTCATCAAACATAAAACAAGACTCATGGCGAAGGAATACGTGTAGTGGCAAGGAGTTGATTTTGAGTAGGTTTTTGTGCTTGTGGCTAGACTCGACACTGTAAGGCTGATTAGTTCCCTTGCAGCTCAACACGGGTGGGAGGACCATCACTTGAACGCAACTCAATCATGTCTGAGAATGGGTCCATGTGTCATTCATAGTATTAGGACATCCTCAACATCCCTTCATTGGAGTTCTATCGAGGCATTGCCCCTCCCGTGCCAATGTCATGTTATTTATGAACTCTGTATTGGATAGCTAGTGCACAATCTAACCTTTGACACATGGACTTGGGCACAATAACGACACACCTATGTCGCTCAATATGGTCCTTGAAAATCCCATTTCAAAGGAAGTCGCCTGAGACACTCGTCTTGGAACGCTCGCCCTCACTGTGACACACGCATGTGCCATATGGTAGCTCACTTAGGCCCCCCCTCCCGCTATAGTATATTTTAAGGCATTAACAAACTGACAGGTGTAGACATGGTTTTGGCAAACAGACATACGGTGTCATTGAGCGTCCATTTGGTGTTCGAATGACACCAAATTTGGCTAGCTTTTCTATTTTATATGGACGAACTTGACTCTAAAACTGCATGTCTAAATTCTCTTTGGAACCCTGACTATCTATGTTTAGGCTCAAGGTCATACCTACTCCTTCAATAGGCTTATCTGTGACGCTCATGTCTACTCGTTGCCCCTATCTTGCTTAGGCCTTGTTACCTCTTCAATGCACACATTATATGATTTTTTGTATGATGTATGGTCCTCCTCGGTTGTATCATGACATTCTTCTATATTGACCCTCACGTGACCGGATGGGCGCCACTTGAGGGTCGCCGCTTTGCTTGTCTTAACTTGAGGGTCACAACCTAATTTCATCATAGTATGGTTGTGACATTCTCTCTCCCACTTGCTCAGTGACTATCTTAGGGCACAATCACATCGCAGATTGTAATATTCTCTCCCACTTAATCTCGGCATCGTCCCGATGATGATTTGAACTTTGAACCGTTGCTGACTTAACCCATTGGAACTAATTGTGTTACATTCTATCCCACTTAATCTCGACATTATCCTGATGACGATCTAAACGTTGAACTGTTGCTAACTTGACCCACTGGAACTGATCGTGCTTTAGACAAGTGTAAATTCATTAAGCACTTGACTTCTCTTTTTTCATAATGCTTATCTTACTAAGTTCGAGTTGATGCTTTTGACTCCTCTTTGTCATATGACACCACTGTCAGACTCTTCTTTGGACAGTTGTTGGGTGAACTTGTCCCAACATAACTTCGGCACTTCTTTTGACCAATCTGCATACTCTCTAATTGGCACATAGCAGTACACCTCGAGGGGTGCGTGATGACACAATCCAAAGTGTGATTGTGCCCCGAAGTAAGTCATCGAGGACGATGACTAGTTTAAGTGGGGGAGAATGTCACAACCCAACAATAGTTGTGCCCCCAAGTATGTCATCGAGGACGATGACTAGTTTAAGTGAGGGAGAATGTCACAACCTAACTTTGAAGAGAGTAGGTTGTGACCCTCACGTTTCGACAAGAGAAGAGACGACCCTCAAGTGGCGCCCATCCGACCATGTGAGGGCCTAGACGAGTGCCATGATGTGACAGAGGAGAATGGGGCATCATCTAACACACCACACGAAGTGGGCATTGAAGACAAGTTGAGACATAAACAAGACAGAGACATCGAATAGACATGAGGGGCAAAGATAGGCTTGTTGAAGGGTCGGGTAGGGTCTCGAGCCTTAACCTCGAAAGTCAGAGTTCCAGAAGAAATTTGGACATGCGGTTCGAGAGTTAAGTCTGTCCATATGAAATATGAATGCTTGCCAAGTTTGGTGCCAATCGAAAACTAGATAGACATTGCACGACACTGTATAACCGTTCACCAAAATCATGTCTATGCTTGGAAGATTGAAAATGGCTCAAAATGTACTATAGGGGTATCATGGTGTTAGCTCTCCACCACCCCTAGGCCTGTGGTCTAAGTGAGCTACCCTGTGGCACATACGTGTATCACAGCGTGGGCGAGCGTGTTGAGACGAGTGTCTTGGGCGACTTCCTTTGAAATGGGATTTTCAAGGACAGTACCGGACGACACGGGTGTGTCGGTATTGTGCCCCAAACTGTGTGTTGAAGGTTACTACATACACACACTATTCGACACGGTATCCGTAAATGACACGACTTGGGCATGGGAGGACCAATGCCTCGATAGAACCCAGATGGATGGATATTCGGGAAGTTCCAATGAGATGAGCGACACGCGGACCCGTTCTCGATAGCATGACCGAACGAGTATGATGGCCGATGACATCCCAAGACTCGGATGGCATCAAGACATATGAACCATGTTGACGGAGATCAAGATGACAAGATGAGATGCGACGTTGCATTGAGAGACCTTGGCCCGAGCAGAGGCAAGGTCGAGCCGAATGACTTGGCCTAGTGTATATGTAAGTCGATGTGTCACAGGCAATGTGTGTGGTTGAAAAAGCTTGGATTCCACACAAGCAATGTTTGATTGGTGAAGACAAACCTCGCCTAAGGTCCGACGAAGCCACAAAGCCGAGGCAAAAATTATATATGGGGCTTAATTCCCCTTAAGGCTAGTCGTGAGCGTGTCAAGATCACACGCCGCGCAGTAAAAAATGTAGGACCGTGACACGCGGCTCGCAAGCCAACCAAGAAATTCCTCCTCGTGGTACTAACTCTTGTGGAAGCGATGTCTAGACTGCTTGCCAACTGACTTGCTGGAAAATAAATGTGCTTTAGAAAGAATACAAACTACTCATGCACACTATCTACGACTATCCCACTTCTAGACCTATTCTATTGTTCGCCCATCTAGGACTCAACCACTGAGACTCGCAACATATGTGAGCTTAGAAACATGACTTAGTAGAATAAGTCACTAATTTATTGAGTAACTTTAGGAGAATTATTAATAGACTTAGTGGAATAAGTTACTAACCTGTGGAGCAAATAGAAGAAGTGGTAGTAGTTGCCAAATTGTGGACCAAGTTTTGTGGTTGTCGACTAAGTTGTATGCTTTAATTAGGAAGATCGTTAGTAGTTCTAAACTTGAGAAGAAAGTTTAGGAATTTAGTTAGTGTTTTCTCCACTATAAATACTATATAGATGTATGCCTTTTCCAATAACAACACAACAACAAAGAGAATTAAAAAGTTAAGTGCTTAAGGTTTCCTTTGTTCCAAAAAGCCGCTTGTAATTGTTTCGACATAATTCCGATCATGGGTCAAATTCAATATTTGGTATCAGAGCTTCTAGGATACCGAAACAAATGTCGTCACCATACAAAGTCACCGGAGGAGAAGTACAACGATAAAGAGTAGAAAGGAGGGGAGTGTAACGCTCCAGTACCCGTTACTTACGAAGAGTAACTACACAACATGGTCGATCAAGATGCATGTCAACTTAAAGGCACAAGGCGTGTTGGACGCCATCGAGCATGGTGACGTTGAGGAGCGTAAGGACAAGATGGTTCTTGCCGTCATCTACCATGCAATCCTGGAGGAAGTTCTTCTCATGTTGGCAGAGAAGGACTCGGCAAAGGCAGCGTGGGAGATGCTGCAAACAATACATGTTGGTGTGGAACGTGTCAAGGAAGTAAAGTTGCAGACCTTGAAGAATGAGTTCGAGGCTATCCACATGAATGACGGTGAGACAATATATGACTTTTCCATGAAGTTAACGACGATGGTCAGTGGCATCCGTTCATTAGGCGACATGGTGGAGGAGATCTCCATCGTCAAGAAGTTCCTTCGAGCAGTTCTCCCAAGATTCATACAAATTGTTACCTCCATCGAGCAGTTCAGCGACGTTAAGAACATGTCAGTTGAGGAGGTCGTTGGTCGTCTTAAGGTCCATGAGGAGAGACTTCGTGGCTATGAAAATAAAGAGGAGGAAAAACACCTCTTACTCACACATGAGGAGCGGCCGACTCTTTTTTTCAAGTACGAGGGGTCGTGACAGCTATAATAAGGAAAACAAAGGTCATGGACGTGGTCGCGAACATGGCCGTGGACGTAGTGGCAGAGGAGGTCATGGCAATACCTCACAAACCCATGACAAAAACAACCCTTGGGAAGAACAAGAGTATGATCAGTGTTATTGTTCTGAAAAATATGGGCACTGTGAGTTAATAAGCTTGACTTAGCAAAAGAAATTATTAACCTAGAGCAATTTTAGGATAAATATTTAGTAGTTATTGATTTGAAAGTTTATGAGAGAAGATTTAGTAGTTATTGATTTGAAAGTTAGAGATTGATTATATAATCTCCACTCTAAATAATCATGATAGGTATGTTATTTACACACCAAAAGAAAGAGAATTAATAAAGTATACGTGTTTAAAGTTCTTTTATTCAAAAGTTCTCTCCCCTCAAGTTGTTCTTCCGCTTCCGTTATTTGTTTCGACATACTTCAATCGTGGGCAATTTTCAACATTTGGTATTAGAGCTTCTAGGATGTCAAAAAAATGTTGTCATCACATGAAGTTGTCAGAGGAGATGTGACAACAATAAGGAGTAGAAGGGAGGGGAGTGTAATGCTCTAGTACCCGTTACTTACAAAGAGTAATTACGCAGCATGGTCGATAAAGATGCGTGTTAACTTACAAGCAGAGGTTGTATGGGACGTCGTTGAGCATGGTGATGTTGAGGCGCATAAGGACAGGATGGCTCTTTCTGCCATCTACCAAGCAATCCCAAAGGACGTCCTTCTCATGTTGGCAGAAAAGGACTCAGCAAAGGCAACGTGGGAGACGCTGCAAATAATGCATATGGGCGTGGAACGTGTCAATGAAGCAAAGGTGCAGACCTTGAAGAGTGAGTTCGAGGCTATCCGCATGAAGGACGGTGAGTCAATAGATGACTTTACCATGAAGTTGACAACGGTCGTCAGTGGTATTCGTTCATTAGGTGACGTGGTGGAGGAGATCTCCGTCGTCAAGAAGTTCCTTCTAGCAATTCTTCCAAGATTCATGCAAATTGTTACCTCCATTGAGCAATTTGACGACCTCAAGAACATGTCGGTTGAGGAGGTTGTTGGTCGTCTTAAGGTCCATGAGGAGAGACTTCGTGACTATGAAGACAAAGAGGAGGGGAAATACCTCTTACTCACACATGAGGAGTGGCTTGCACGGATGAAAAAGAAAGACGCAGAGGACTCTTCTTCTTCAAGTATGAGTGAACGTGACAGCCTTTACAAAGAAAAAAGATGTCGTGGTCATGGTCGCGGACGTGGTGGTAGAGGAGGTCGTGACAGTACCACACAAATCGATGAAAGTGTCAACCCTCAGAAGAACAAGAGTATGATCAAGTGTTACTCTTGTGGAAAATATGAGCATTATGCGGCAAAGTGCGGCAACAAGGAGCACGATGAGGAGGCAAACCTTATGTTCTCAGATGATGAAAAGCCCACATTAATGTTGGCCGAGAAAATGTAGAACTTGTTGATGCTCAATGAAAAAAAGGTTATGGTGAATCCCTTCATAGATGGAGAAGACCGAGTGGAGACCAGCACATGGTACCTAGACAACGGAGCAAGAAACCACATGACCGGAGATCAAGAAAAGTTCAAGGAAATTGATGAGAAGTTCATTGGAAACATGAAGCTTTGCGACGGATCAATTGTATCGATCCAAGGTGAAGGGTCTATCTTGTTTCAATGTAAGAACGGTGATTAATGTCTACTTATCAAGGTGTATTACATCCCAAGTTTGAAGAGCAATATTATTAGCCTTGGTCAAATGACAGAAGGAGGGGGTCAAGTGGAAATAGTCAGCCCGTTCCTCAAGATATACGATCAAAACGGAGCCCTATTGATGAAGGTAAGATGGTTGCGAAACTGCCTATATAAGATACTATTGAAAGACTATCAACATCTTCCAAAAGTATCTATTGGCGTTGGCAGCAAGAAAGTGAAGAAGAAACCAACGGATCAAGAGAAAAATGAATTGAAAAATAAATTAAGAAGCAACTGGAGGCTGTTTCAATCAGCTAAGTGCAACCTACAAGTCGATGTGTTTCATCAGACTTATCACCTCAACCAAGAAGGCCTAGAGGAAGACCACCAGGGTATAATAAAAAGGAGATTTCAAACTTTCCTTCTCAACTCAAGAAACCTAGAGGTAGGCCTAACAAGAAGGTTGAAAAACAGAGGAGTACGTCACAAGAATTTTCTAGATGTAAGTTTGACGATGAATTCTTTGCACAGAAGAGAGGAGTGGAAGAAAATGCATGTTGTAAAATTAAAGTTTCTTCTAAAGGAAAAGAAGTTATTAACCTACAACGAGTTTTGGATAAAGATTTAGTAGTTATTAATTTGAAACTTTAAGAGATCGATTAGAAAGATTTAGTAATTATTGATTTGAAAGTTTTGGAGATCAATTAGGAAGATTTAGTAGTTATTGATTTGAAAGTTTAAGATATTGATTATTCATTCTCCACTATAGATACTCGTGATAGGTATGTTATTTACACAACAAAAGAAAGAGAATTAATAAAGCATACATAAGGTTCCTCGATTCAAAATCTCTCTCCCCTCAAGTTGTTCTTTCACTTCCGTTATTTGTTTCGACATACTTCGATCGTGGGCAATTTCCAACAAGCACTATGCGGTAGAGTACCACAAGAAGAAGCGAGATGAGGAGGCAAACCTCACACTCACGCAAGATCAAGAGCCCGCACTAATGCTGGCCAAGAAGATGCCTAACCTGATGATGCTCAACTAAGAAAAGGTTATGGCGAACCTTGTCACAAAAGGAGCAACATGTGGTACCTTGACAACAGAGCAAGCAACCACATGACCAAAGATCGAACAAAGGTCAAGGAGCTTGATGAAAAGCTCATTGGAACATGAAGTTTGGCGATGGATCAATTGTACCAATCCAAGGCAAAGGATCCATCTTGTTCCAGTGCAAGAATGACAACAAACGTTTACTGACCAAGGTATACTATATCCCAAACTTGAAGAGTAACATTATCAGTCTTGGTCAGATGACGGAAGAAGAAAGTAGAGTGGAGTTAGTTCGCTCATTTCTCAAGATGTTTGACATAAATGAAAAGCTGTTGATGAAGGTAAAACGGTTGCATAACCACCTATACAAGATACTATTGGAGACCAGTCAGCCCACATCCCTATTGACGGCACATGCAAGACTTGGGCACTGAACGTTCAGACCCTCTAAATGATGGTAGATAAGAAGATGGCTACGGGGATACCCAAAATCATACACTCGAACCAGCTATGTGAAAGTTGCCTAGTCTTCAAACAAACAATACTGTCATTCCCAGCTCAAACTAGTTTCTGTGTTGAGTGACCACTGCAACTAGTTTATAAGATTTGTGTGGCCCAATCACCCCATCATCGATTGCTGGAAACAAATATTTTCTCTTACTTGGTGACGATTATAGTCGTTGGATGTGGGTGTACATGCTCAAAGAAAAAGGAGAGGCATTATGTGCGTTCAAGAAGTTCAAAAGACTCATTAAAAACAAGTCTGATTACAAGCTAATAACCTTGTGCACTGACCGAGGTGGCGAGTTCTTATACCAAAACTTCTCAAAGTTTTACGAAGTTTTGCGAAGAGAAAGGTATCAAGCGTCAACTCACCACACCGCACACTCGACAACAAAACGGTGTGGTCGAACGAAGATACTACACCATAATGAATACTCCAAGAAGCTTACTCAAGAGCATGCAAGTCTCGACAATTTTCTTGGGCGAAGCAATACAACATGCGGTTTATCTTTTAAAACATTTACCAACAAAAGCGCTGGACACTCGCACCTCCTATGAAGCATGGTTCGGCAAGACACCTCACTTCGAGTACATAAGAGTCTTCGGTTGTACAACACATGTTAAGACGACAAAGCCATATATCAAAAAGCTTGATGAAAGAAGCCAAAAGATGGTGTATTCTGGCGTAGAGGATGAGACCAAGGCACACAGGCTGTATGATCCGCAACATAAGAAAATTCATGTAAGTAAGGATGTCGTATTCGAAGAAGAGAGGAAATGGGATTGGTGCAGTGTTGGCTATAACAAGCAGATTGTTATAGAGTTCACTACTCTGGAAGAAGAGGAAGACGCAACGAATCTAGAAAGTGCCCCTACAGAAACACCAACAAGTCCACACATGTTATCACAGGTGACACCGAAAGGCATAATGGACTCTCCAGAATAAGAGAGCTTAGGCGAGAGCACAGAAAAATCTACAACAAAGGATGGACCAAAGAAGTTTCGTACTCTTGCTGAAATTTATGTGGATACACTTGAAGAAAACTTGGATTCTGGTGAGTTAGTGTTGCTAGCGGCCGTGGAGCTGACAACCTACCGTGAGGTAGCAACTGAGACTATGTGGCAGGAGGCCATGCAAAAAGAGCTTGAAGCCATCGAGAAGAACAACACATGGACATTAACTAACTTACCGTCCGAACACAAGCCCATTGGTTTAAAGTATGTGTTCAAGTTGAAGAAGAATAGTCAAGGAAATGTCATCAAGCATAAAGCAAGACTCGTGGCGAAGGGATACGTGCAACGAAGGAGTTGATTTTGAGGAGGTTTTTGCGCTTGTGACCAGACTGGACACTATAAGGTTGATTCTTTCCCTCGCAACTCAACACGGGTGGGAGGTCCATCACTTGGACGTCAAATCAGCATTCTTAAATGGTGAGCTCTAAGAAGAAGTGTAAGTTGCCCAACCAGAAGGGTTCATCATCAAAGTCGAAGAACACAAAGTGTACAAGTTGTCAAAGGCCCTCTATGGTCTACGACAAGCACCAAGGGCGTGGAACATACGTTTGGACAAGAGCTTAAAGAGTCTAAAATTTATGAAGTGCTTGCAAGAACAAGCATTATATACAAGAAACAATGAGACTGAAACACTCATAGTTGGCTTGTACGTTGATGACTTGATCGTCACTGGTACAAGTGTTGAAGGCATCAAAGAGTTCAAGCAGCAAAGGATGGAAGAATTTGAGATGATTGATCTCGGGTTACTCATGTACTACCTCGGTATTGAAGTGGACCAAAAGAAAGATTGCATCATGCTAAAGCAATCGACCTATGCTAAGAAGTTGTTGCAACAATTTAAGATGGTAGAGTGCAACTCGACCAAGTATCCCATGGAAGAAAAATTACAACTCGGGAAAGATGCTGAAGGAAACTTGGTGAATTATACTGAGTATAGGCGTGTCATCGGAAGTCTAAGGTACTTGACTCATATTCGTCCGAACCTTTCAAATGTTGTTGGAATAATGAATAGGTACATGGAAAAGCCCACTATGATGCATCATCAAGCAATTAAGCACATTCTCTGCTATGTGAAGGGAACCAACAGCTACGGGTTGAAGTATCAAAGAGGGCGAGGTCCTGAAGAACTAGCTGTTTTTACCGATAGTGATTTAGCTAGAGACATTGACGATAGAAAAAACACCGCAGGAATGGCGTTTTATCTCAACGAAAATTTGATCTCTTGGCAATCTCAGAAGTAGCGAATTGTGACACTATCTTTCTGTGAGGCCGAGTTCATGGCAGCAACTGCGGCGTCGTGCCAAGCATTGTGGCTGAGAAATTTGTTGAGCAAAGGGACTAGAAGTGAACTAAAGCCGGTAGCTCTCTACGTCGACAACAAATCTGCAATTGCGCTGATGAAGAATCCAACATTTCACGAACGTAGCAAACATATTGACACTCGCTTCCACTTCATCCGTGAGTGTGTTGAGAAGAGACAAATCCTTGTAGAGTTCATATGCACTAGAGAGCAAGGAGTGGATATTCTAACCAAGGCCCTAGTAAGGGTTAAGTTTGCAGAGATGCGAGAATGGCTGGGAGTGAAGAATCTCAAACAAAGTCAAGTTTATGGAGGAGATTGTGAGCTTATAAACATGACTTAGTAGAATAAGTCACTAACTTATTGAGTAACTTTAGGAGAATTATTAGTAGACTTAGTGGAATAAATTATAACTTATGAAGCAACTATAGGAGAATTGGTAGTAGTTGTCAAATTGTTGACCAAATTTTGAGGTTGTGAACTAAGTTGTATGGTTTAATTAGGAAGATCGTTAGTAGTTTTAACTTGAGGAGAAAGTTTAAGAAATAAGTTAGTGCTTTCTTCGCTATAAACACTCATGAGAAGTATGATTTCTTTCCAACAACACAACAACAAAGAGAATTAAAAAGATAATTGCTTAAGGTTTTCTTTGTTCCAAAAATCTCTCTCCCTTCAAGTTTTTTCGTTTGTCTTGTACTTTTTTCGACATAATTCGGATCGTGGGTCAAATCCAACATTCATTACCAAAGCGCCCTGCTGCAATCATTTTCGTTTCAGGAGTTTGAATCAGAGTACAGATCTTAGGCATGGGCTGGCACTGGTTGTATAAAATGTAAGAAACGTCCAATGAGAGAGTGGATAAGTTTTTAAGTCCAATTTCAACGGGATATTCTCAAACAAAATTTAATGTGGAAACTAGCTTGATTCCACAGAGAATATTTTGATTTTTTTCTAATATAAAAGATATCTGCGTTGATTCTCATGTTGGAAATATTCATGAAGGATGGGCCAACCTATTGATTTTCTTGATTAGAAAGAAAAAAATAATATCCAGGGTGACATCATTTACAACCCTAGGACCCTAGGGAACCATAACGATTTCATCTTAACATATTCTTTAAAATAATAATAAACCCTAAATATTCTTGAACAATCATTTATTTGAAATAATCCCATATATATTACACCTTCTTGGCCTGATTTGGATGCTCATTTGCTATACAAATACGATCATTCGTTGGAAGAAAACATATCATTATTAGTCGTTGTTTTAAATCAAAACGTTGTTGATTGTTAAGTTTTTTTTAGAATGTTTGCTTAATCCACCGTAAATGTATGAAATTTTTTTATTTATAATCAAATAAATGAGAAGGATATGGAAATAGTAATAAACGAAAATAACAATAAATGAAAAGATGCCTATGATAAGAAGACAAATATCTAGACGTTGGTATTTGTTTAAAACTATTACTTTTTAATATCTCTAGGTAGTCTATGTCGACTAATTAAGAATAAGATCGTAAATTTATAAGTAAATACATCAAGTCTGATCTTTTCAAAAACCAAAATCAGTTTATCTTCCAAATGAACCATTGCTAACATAATCATGATGCTATAGCTGGCTGTTGGACTTTGAACGTTCTTAGAGAACATAGAAATAAAATATGAGGGATCTTGAGATATTTTCTTCAAATCTAAATATCTCAAATTACTTTTCCTATTCTTTATTCACAACTTTAAATATATTAAAATAAAATACAATGAACATAGATGCAAATTCAATCTTGTGTTGGATTTCAAATAACTAAGTTCCGGCAAAGCTACTGTTTTTATTTTTTTTTTCGAAATATTGACATTTGTGTTAGTTTATTCGAATGATCTATTCACTTAATTAACCCAAAAAAAACATTTGGTAAGTGGGTCTAACTTTTAGAGTTGAAATTTTGAAATGTCTTAAAAGTTTCAAAATAGTAGAGAACTAAAATAGGAAGAGTGACCCAAAATGTTATCCTTTCTTAGGCAAAGAAAAAGAAAGAAGGAAATGCTCAACTTTCAATTATCAATTGTTTGAAACTTTACCTAAGATACCCACATTGGAACTTTTATTATCCTCCATAAGTTGTAGATATTCTAATTCCAAAAGTTGGAAAATATTTTAAGGATTTATCCAATGAATTGATAAGAAAATGAGAAAGGGAATAGGCCAAAAAAGATGAATTGTCAATGTCAAGGAAGAGAAATGGTGCATTAAGAACACCCACTTGGGGCACCAAAAGGGAGTTAGATATAAATATAACATAGCATTGTCTGTCAAATGATAGTGTAAGTTGGCAATGAAAAGGGGTTGAGAGACCACATGGGGAAGGGAATTCATGCTATGCTATCCTATCATTTGTCTTCAATTACAACATTTAATCGAATACCAAAACATTTCTTCAACGCCAATATTGTTTGGTTGCCTCTAATTATAGCCATATATAATCCTTGCCCGACAAATTTTGGACCCAAAAGAAGGATAATATATCTAAATAACGTGTAGTTTTCATTTAGTTTCCAAAACAATTTATTTTGTTTGAAAATTGATCGATATCAATTAAACTTATAATAACCAAAAATCAGAAAAAGAAATATATAATATATATTAATTAATAAAAATAAGAAAAGTTGTTCCACATCGATGGAGAAAGTTGGAGTTGGACTTTTTTACTTGCCTTAGTCACAACCGTTGCTCACTTTCATCACATTTAGAGAATCCATATTTTTACAGTGGCTAGTCTGATTTGGGCTAATATGTTCAAACTCTCCTACATTTTCGACTTTTTGGGAGTCGTTTATGATATTTTTGAAGGCGTGTGACTTCAAATGACTACTATTTAACCAATTTAAATTATTTGGAGCTAAGTTTATATTACTTTCAGTAATTATTTAAGTCAATTCCTATAATAGAATTCTAATTAGGATTGCAGGACTCCATGAATGAAATTGGATTTCAATTTGAGCTAGCATGAAAAGAGTGTACTAACTTCAACTTAACTTAGGCCAACGAAGTAAGTAGATTTACTATTGATTTTGTTGGATGACTTGTATGATGTATGAATGACATGTGTTATGTGGCCCCTATACGTGTCATATTTTATGATTATTTGACGTGTATGTTATGTTTACGCGATGATATAAGTTATGTTATGATGCAAGGTGTGCTATGTTATAAGTTATACTATGAGATGATTATGCTATGTTAGAGAGGAGATGATTATGCTATGTTATAGAGCTATGTTGTGATATCAATGTTATATGGTGGATGAAGCTCCATATGTCACGCTACGTAAACTATGTTAACATGTGCACTCTATGTCTATGAGACATTAGTAAGCCAGGTACATTAATCATGAAATATATGACAAGTAATACATATGTATGTCTCACTGTGACACCATGTCATGAAAATAATGGAGGTATGAGTCTGCATCATAAATATATGTTAGGAGGACCTCATGCATCTTAAATATCATTTGCATTAAAATACTTTCCTGTTATGGTTAATACGAATGTGTCCACTACGATATAATGTACACCAAGATATTATGCACAATTCTTTCCCTCCTTGACTTTCGATAGCGTGAGTGTATCCTAACCCGATAGATAGGCCTAGGGTGTATGTATATAAGTCCGTTTGGTGGGTTCATATGCGTGTGCATGGACCGTGCGTAGAAAAGTACTATACATCCAATTTTGTCTAAAATGGAAAGTAAAGGCCAAGGTCATGATGTTCTACGAAATAATAGATCCTACCATGATTACATGTGATTGCATTTTATAAGCTCAATAGTGAGGCTACTTACCGAGTGTCTTTTAAGTACTCAAACTTCATACTACTTTCAAGTAAAGATAAGACACCTATGTATAGATGTGACGTCACTATATAGGCCACAAAAACATAATGAGGATAATTGCATTTTCTATTCAAGTTGCAGCCGATTAGGTTAAGGTGTTTTCATTATTTGAAATTATTGTTATTTCATTTTCGGTATTCCATTGATGTTTACTTTTATCTTAAGTGAATTTGCAAGCATTCAAGTCTATCTCATTGTTTACATGTGAATATTTCTAAACGAATTCCGTCACATGTTAGATATGTCCGCATGTAGTAGTGTCGTTATTTTAAGTAGCAAAAATAGAGTCTATTTTTCTATTAAAAACAGGGTCGCCACCAAATGCATGTGTGTGACGCCTCAATAAACTTTTGTAAGTGAATAATTTAGACCTTGCATTTAAAAAATTGTTATCAATTCTCATATGCTTTAACTTCTCCAAATGCCAATTAATAAAATGAGTTACTTTTTGCTGTCTCTTGTCCCTTTATTTTTCTCTACAATTTGAAAATATGTGTGTGACGCCTCTATTTTCCTATTAGAAATAGGGTCGTTACCAAATGCATGACGTGTCTAATGCATGGTGAGAAACATCCATTTAAAATATTTTATAAAAGGAGTCGTGGACTTAACATTCAAAACAAATACCTTAAATAATATAGATATAGCAAGGTGGAAAATAAATTTCATAAATTAAAGAAGATAAACAAAGCCTTGAACTAATCTAAAGGCTACTAAACAGACATAAATATGACTACCCTAACACTAGTTTCATGGTATTCATCATGATGTCGTCATCTGTACATGGTTACCTTACTTTTACTTGAAAAAAAAAAATAGCACATGGCTTAAGTATTTTAAAAAATACCTAGTAAGCAATCCTACCGTTGAGGTCGAAAAATGCAAACACATGCGATATGATGGGGTATATCCTTTTAAAAATAACATGACATGGCCTTAGGCAGCTTTCCATTATGGGCAGGTTGGATGTGTAGTACTTCCTCACACATGACTTACATAAGCGCAGCTTGGCTCATCATGCAGGCTGGAGTACCACCTGGGCCTGATT